AATGTACAGAACTGTCTCCTCTGATTCCTCAGTCATGGTGGCAGCAAGGCCCTGGGCTGGTAAAGGGGAGAGGTGCAGACAGATCACAGCTAAGCCACTGCCTCCTCAGTCCTTCCCAGGGACAATTCTTTCCCTTTATCATCCTCCCACCAAAGCCTTGAATCTATTTCCCCCTCTAACTTCTTGCTTCCACTTCCCCACTCCCACCAGCCTTCTTAATAATCCTCCCTCTCCTGAAAACCCAAGAGCACCAAGCACAAAACCTTCCCAGCAGGCTCTCCCCAGAATATACCCAAGCCTCACCTCTGAATCAACTTGCATCAAACTCCACCCACTAGATCCTTGTAACCTGTCCACCTCCCGCCACCTAGTCTCCAATACCTCACAACTGGCCCAAGACCTGTATCCTCTCCACTGAAATCTCCTTCCACCGACTCCTTTCCAACTCACTATCCCATCCCCACTCCCAGGTGCCCAGTAGAGTCCTCACACAGGCCCTGACAGCACTTCTCCCACCCCATTCAATCTTTCTCTTCCCACTCACCCCCACCCCCATTCTAGACCTCTTTTTACCCGACCCCTCAAGCACCCCCAATGTCCCTGCCACTTTCAGCACCCTCACATGATACAACTCCTCTCCTTTACACACAGCTCCCTGCTACCCCTCCCACTCTGGTGCCCAAGCTCCTCACATCAAACTGTCCCTTCCTCCAATCAACTTTTCTCCCAAGGCCTAACCCATCTCCACACCCAGACTCTTCCCACTTTAAGCACTTGCTCAACCAGATCCTCCTCTTCAAACTACTTAACTCCCTCTACAAATCAAGGCCTGAGCACCCCCCTACACTAACCCTCTATCCAGAATACCCAGACCCATCTTGCAAAAACCTAACCCTTTCTTCACACCCAGACCCTTCTTACCATCATTAGTCGTTTGTCTCCTGGGTACAACTCTCTTCCCCTTAATCACCTCTTCTTTGCACTGAGACCTCATCTACAACCCAGATCCCTCTTCACACTGACTTAAACCCCTTTTCTTCAAACACCATCTGAACCCATTCAGGTATTCCCAGACTCCCTCTTCACGTTTGTTTTCTTTGCAAAACCCCTACCACCCTAACCCATTCTAGAGATGCCCACACCCCTCCTCACATCAAAAACTAGGCCTCCCACCTTCAGAAAAAGATCCACTCCCAGGTCCTCCCTTCACGTTATTAACCAAACATTTTCTTCTTTGCAAAAAGCCCTTCTCCCCTCAAATCCATTTAAGGGATGCCCAACACTTCTTTTTATGCTAACCCAAGCCCCTCCTCTGTGCAAAAGGGCCACCCCCACCCTACCCATTCCAGAGATGCTCAGTCCCTCTCTACATCAACTTAATTCCTTTTCTTTGCAAGAAGATCTGCACATACTCCAACATAATGCAGGGATACCAGGCTCCTCCTCACAATGACTTCAACTCCTCCCTTTCGCACACAACTCTCCCTCTGCCTCAAACCCATTTAGGGATACCCAACCCCTCCCCCACCCAACCCAGCCAGAGGACAGACAGATCCGGCTTCCCCACACCTAGACCCCTCTCACAGCCCTGGGGACACCCTGACCTCCAACTTCTCAGCAACGTTTACATTTCATTCTCATTCGAGGGATACCAACCTCCCCGCCCCAGACGAGCACACAGCTCTCTCACCCCACCACCCCAGCACCCTCTAGTGATACCCACTTCTCACTCTTCACCTTGACCTAATTCTCTGTACTTTTCAAAAGACTACCTCCACCCTGTTTACTTTAGGGATACGAAGGCACCTTTGTCACATAACCCTTCTTTGAACATATTCTCAATTCGTTGCAAGGGTACCCCATTTTGGCTTAACTCCTCTTCGCGTTAACGTAACCCCATTCTTCACAAGGACCTCTCCATCCGCTCTAAATCTCTTTAGGGATATCCATTTCCTGATCTCTTTTCACACCAAGACCCCTCTCACTGGCCTAATTCCTTCCAGGCATAACTAGCTTTTCTCTTCACATTAACCATGCCCACGCCCTTAACCCTTCCCCGGTTCACTCCCCTTCGGTCCTGAACTGCCCCACCGCCAAACGCTTGGCCCCGAAGCCCCGCGCACCGTGGAAGCCTTCTGGGGATAGCGCTAACGCATTCCTTCCCACCCCGGACGCTCCCAGTTCCCAGCCCGGGCCCCGCCCCTCCTCATTCTGCCCTTCACCCGACTCTAGCCCCCTGCCCCGCCCGCCACCGCGCCCGGCCGACCGCCCGCGCGCCCCGCTGGCCGTTGGTGCCGCTCCGCCCTCCCCACCCGGCGCGCGTCCCCCAGCGGCCCTTCAGTGCGCAGGCGGGGTGGCGAGGAGAGGCCGCGGGTGGGGGCGGGGAGGAAGCCTGCCGACCGCGCGTCGGCCTGTACTCACCCGCCTCCGTTGTCTCGCACACCCCGGCCCGGAGCAGGGCCGCTGCTCCCCTCTCAGAGCCACTCTAGCGCTGCGCCCTCTCTAGCTCCGCCGTCTCCTCTCGCCTGCTCCACAGCCTCGCTCTCGCCCCTAATCGCCCTCAGTAACGCTCCGCCCACCTTCCTCCTCGGCACCGCGCGGACGGCCGAACGCTCCCAACCATCGCCCTCCTCGCCCCCGCCGTTTGGCCAATCGACGCTCACGTCTCTGAGCCTTGGGCCAATAATATAGAGCGTCTGCATCCCCTCAGGGCTCAACCAATCCTCTAGCGACATTTCTTCACCGGTCAGCCTCCGGGATGATAGTGCCCGCCTCCTTAAGCCTCCGGAGGATGCACCTCCTCTGCCTCTTCGTCGGCTCCTGCTGATGGCTCAAGATGGGAGGGCTGCGCGGTGACGTTAGGGGCGGAGCGAGGCGGCGGGCGCCATCTTGGGGGCGCAGGGCCAGAGTCACGTCGGGGTCGGAGGGGGATGTCGGGGAAGTTGGGTCACGCGACACCTGGAGGACGGAAGTTGGGGACCTGAGGCGCTGGAGGCTCCGGGAAACGGAGGGAGAAACTGAAGCAGCAGTCAGCGCGAAGGGGAGAGGGAAAATGGCAGCACCAAGTCCCTGGAGGGAGAAAAGGGAATCAACGCTGCAGACTAACTTCGTTACCGAGGAATGAATGAGGCAGCAAGAAGAGAAAAACCTAGGGACTCTTGAGGGAGCGAGAAGGAGAAATGTCAAAATGNATACTGCTTAACACACATTGGCGTTTGAGAACCTTTGCCTACTTAACTTGAACGCCAGCATCCAACAAGTTTGATCAGTGTCACCTTTTTTGGGACAGTGGTTCAACTGAGGACCATGTAAATTTCAGGGGTGGGATAGTAAACTTTTGTTAATAACATGTTTGCACAGGAACATTCATTTTTTCTAGAGTGGGATTCTGAAGTTTTCATTAGAGGCCCTAATAAGGGTGGTAATCCCACCATCAAGGGCTATTCTCTGCTGAAAGCATCATTGTCTTGAGGTCAACCAGTACCCTCAGATTTTCCCAATTCTACCCCTTTTCTTGATTCAGCCTGATTATTGCCTGGTTTTACAAGGATAAATTCTCCAATTTTTCTAAGCACTTATTTGATATGGACTTTCAGGATGTTATAGTTCTTGAGAGAAGTTTGAGAATCAGTCCTTACCTCGGGACTAAGGGGGTCTGGCATACTGAACTAAGATGGCTCAAGTCCTTTCTGCAGGTTAGGTCGTCCAAGGTCAACACATTCTGGTCAAAAACTGTTTAACAGGTAACTGCTCTTCATTAGAAGCTGTAGGATATCAAATGGATGAGTGCTTTTTCTTTTTAAAGATGACTAAAATAAGCATAGTATAGTAAAATCTTCATTCATGCTTGGGAGACCTGGTTTCCAGTCCTGGCTCCACCAGGCCTCCTTCCTCTCTAAGTTTTCATTTTCTCACTCCAGCAACAGGCTAAACCAGTCTGTCTTTGAGCCCCAGAGAGGCTGTGTTTGTGTGGCTTGTGGGCCTCCATTTCCCCTGGCTTCAATGCAGCTTCCCTTTCACCCCTCATTTATTAAGGTTCCAGTTAAGAAATTCTCTCCAACAGAAAGACTGGAGTAATCTTGAGGAGACTTACTTTTCTTGGGGTGTGGCTCTTAAGAGACAAGATTGGCATTACAACTGCGCATTCCCACCAAGTCACACACTTGTATCTCCTTTCTCCACAGTCTGAGCCAAGTACGCAGGAGGCAGCAGAGTACAGTGGAAAGCACGTGGGTGATTCACCCAAATGAAAGCAGGCTTGGATTCAAGCTCTGCCTTATCTGGGTTGAATGACCTTGGGTAAATCACCTCACTGCTTCTGACTGCAAATTTCTTCCCTACAAAATTTTCTCCTAACAGGACCAGTGTGAATTATTCCAGTTAAGTGTAGGGAAGTACTTGAGGCAAACTAGACATGTTTGAGGCGTTTAGATTATCAGTCAGCCACCAAAACCACCCCTTGCTCTATAAGACTGTTGGCTGAGCCTGAGTCCAATCCAGGTGGGTGTTAAGGTACCTCCCCGTAAGAGGATTCCTACCCCCAGGGAAAAGTTACTATCTCTACTTCCACAGCTGGGCCTGGCCCCAGGAGCTACCCACCTCTACTTGTTAAGATCATGCCTTTCCCACACCTGCCTTTGCCCTCAGGGAGCCACAGTGTGAAAACCAGATGGCCCTAGGGGAGATGACTCACCTCAGGCTGTGGTGGTGAGAATCTGAACATTTTCCCAAACGTTCTTGCCAGTTAGAAACAGCTTCCAGTTCTTCTAAGGGGCTGTGGGGGCCTCTAGTGGCTAAAGAGCCACAGTGCCTTCCATGAGCACCGGAGTGAAGCCATGCCTATGGATTCCTTCCTTTTCAGCAAATGTTTACTGAGCTCCTGTTACTTGCCAGGCACCCCGTTCCAGACACTGGGAACAAGCCACAAAAAATGAGCCCCAAGTACCTGGGCTCATAGCTCCCAAATTCCACCCCACACAGCCAGGCCAGACAAAAGCACATAAATGTCCAACTCAGTCTTTATTGACTGCCTCACCTTGGGGCCACCAATGCTAACAGGTGGAAGGTGGGTTTTATGCTTACTTTTCAGGGACCCCAGAGCACCCCTTCAGAAGAGAGAATCAATCCAGTTAGAGAACTTACATGACTGTTGGGAGGGGTGGAAAAAGGGGCACAGCAGGTACAGAGACCTAAGGGGCTGGTGGAGGAGGCTCTTTTAGCAACAGGGCACGGTGGCGCTTAAGAGGGAAGCGGGGCAGGGTCAGCCACTAATCTGAACTCCCTCAGCCTCAGCCAGAGGGTAGATTTCAATGGCCTCCACCAAGGGCAGCGCCTCCACTGCAGTCTCCATCACAGCCAGGCCAACGGCAGCCTCGGCCTCTGCCAGCTGCTGCCGCACAGCTGCCTGATGCTGCTGCTGGTGGGTCTTGCGGTGCTTCCACAGGTTGGAGAAGGAGCGGTAGCTCTTGCCGCAGTCGGGGCAGGAGTAGGGCCGTTCCCCAGTGTGAATGCGGCGGTGCTCTGCCAGGCGCATAGAGATGGCAAAGGCCTTGCCGCACACTTCGCAGGCAAAGGGCCGCTCGCCTGTGTGCAGGCGCCGGTGGTCCTTCAGGTGCGTACTCTGACGAAAGGCCTTGCCACAGTCTGGACATGGGTATGGTCGCTCACCTGTGTGGATGCGCCGATGTACCTGCAGCGAGGTCTCTGTGCTGAACAGCTTCTTGCACTCACTGCACTCCAGGCCCCGGCGACGGGCTGGGGCTGCAGGGGCGGCAGGGGCTGCACTTCCAAGGGTTGTCGGGGAGGCAACTGGGGTGCGAGTGGCCCGCGGCGCCCGCGGGGCCGGGGGCTCCTTCGCCAGGACCTCTCCGGGCCCAGCAGCTGCATGGGCAGCCTCATGTGCCTGCAGCCGGGCAGCTGAGCCCACTTTCTTGCCACAGGTGCCACACTCAAAGCGCCGTGGGGCCTGTGCGGCAGCAGCTGCACAGCGGTGCTCACGGAGCCGCAGTGAAGAGGGAAAGGCAGCCCCACAGGATGGGCAGCGGTGGGGCTGGCGCCCAGCATGGGCCACAAGCTGGTGCACCTCCAGCAGCCGGCGAAGCAAGAAGGAGCGGGGGCACTCACGGCACTTGTAGGGGTACTCGCCTGTGTGGTGGTAGCGGTGCATGAGCAGGCGGTAGGGGCGGTGAAAACGCACCCCACACTCCTGGCAGCGGTAGGGGAAGTGCTGGGCATGAACCAGGCGGTGCTGCCTCAGCGTGGAGCTTTGCGTGAAAGCCTTGCCACAGTCCCCACACCGGTAGGGCCGCTCCCCTGTGTGCGTGAGCCTGTGGCGAGCCAGGTTGGCAGGTGAGTTGAAGGGTTTGGAGCAGTCTGGGCAGGGGAAGGGCCGTTCCCCTGTGTGGGTACGCAGGTGGTTACGCACATGAGACTTCTTCTTGAACATCTTGCCACAAATGCCACACTTGTGGCGCCGTTCCAGCCGGTGCACAAAACGCTGGTGCCGGGTCAGCTGCAATGCCTTGCCAAATTCCCGGCTGCAGAGGAGGCAGCGGTAGGTGCCTGGAGCCGCAGTCCCTGCTGAGCTCTCCTCGGACACAGGGGGCTCTGGAGCCTCTGGCTCTCCAGTCTCTGCTGAAGCAGGCTCAGGGAGACCAATGACAGGCTCCTCTGGTGGGACTGGTGTTGTGGGCAAAGGGACACCCCCAACCCCATGGGTACGCCGATGATACAGGAACTTGGTGAGGTTGACAAAGGTCTTTCCACATGGACATGAATGCAAAGGATTTGGGGTGTGGGCTCGCCGGTGGGCCAGGAGGAGGGCCTCTGTGCCGAAGGCAAGGCCACAGTCCACACACAGGAAGTGAGACTCGCTGCTGTGGTCTCCAAGGTGCTGGTCCAGACTGGAAGGGCTGGGGAAGACGCGACTGCACAGAGGACACTTAAAGACGCCCTCTCGGTGACTCCGCAGGTGCTGCTGCAGCTGGTGAGGCGAGAGAAATAGCTGGTCACAGGCTGAACAAAACAGCTCCTGGGTGGCTGCCCCACATGGCTCTCCACTGTTGTTCCTCCGGGCCTTGCGCCCCCGGCGATCACGTCCAATAGCTTCACCATTGCGCAGCTCGTAACTGTGGTCAGAGGATGGCAGGGGGTCAGGCTGAGACACAGGCACCTCTGCAGGTGATGGGGTCAGAGTCTCTTGTTGCAAGGCAGGTTCCTGAGACTCAGGGGTAGGAGCAGGGAAGTGGGTGGCCTGGTGCTCCAGGAAGTCAGCTGGCAGCTGGAAGAGTTGGGAGCACTCTGAGCACTTGTAAAGGAGCAGCTCCACCTCAGTCACCACCTCAGTGGTGGCGGTAGCGGCAGAGGGGACAGCCGCCCCTTCCCCACCCTCTTCTGCCTTCCGGTACGAGTGCTCCACAGCTACACGGGCCTGGCCCATGGGGGGCCCTAGAACAACTGGAGAACCCAGGACAACTGGGGCTGGAGGCTTGGTGGGAGTGGCCCGGAGGTGAGTTTGCCGGTGGTTCAGCCAGAGCTCCTGGCTGGCGAAGAGAGCCTTGCAATCCACACACTCATAGTGGATGGTACTGGAGCTCAAGGGGGGCACCTTGGGTGGTGGCTCAGCTGGCACTGCATCCTGGGGCGCCATCATCTTCAAATGCAGCTCCTGGTGTTCCAGGAGCTGGCTGGGGGACATCAGCAGCTGCCCACACTCCAAGCACTGGTACTGGCTCTCCTGTACTAGGGTCTGATAGAGGCCTGTGCCAGATGCTGCCTCTGTGGCCACAGTGACTCCAGGGTCGGCCACACCCACCAGCTCAAAGTGCTGCTGGGGCACGTGAGAGTTCTGGTGCATGAGCACCTCCTCCAGGGATCCATAGAGCTGGTTGCACTCTGAGCAGACATAGCGGTGCTCAATGTACAGAACTGTCTCCTCTGATTCCTCAGTCATGGTGGCAGCAAGGCCCTGGGCTGGTAAAGGGGAGAGGTGCAGACAGATCACAGCTAAGCCACTGCCTCCTCAGTCCTTCCCAGGGACAATTCTTTCCCTTTATCATCCTCCCACCAAAGCCTTGAATCTATTTCCCCCTCTAACTTCTTGCTTCCACTTCCCCACTCCCACCAGCCTTCTTAATAATCCTCCCTCTCCTGAAAACCCAAGAGCACCAAGCACAAAACCTTCCCAGCAGGCTCTCCCCAGAATATACCCAAGCCTCACCTCTGAATCAACTTGCATCAAACTCCACCCACTAGATCCTTGTAACCTGTCCACCTCCCGCCACCTAGTCTCCAATACCTCACAACTGGCCCAAGACCTGTATCCTCTCCACTGAAATCTCCTTCCACCGACTCCTTTCCAACTCACTATCCCATCCCCACTCCCAGGTGCCCAGTAGAGTCCTCACACAGGCCCTGACAGCACTTCTCCCACCCCATTCAATCTTTCTCTTCCCACTCACCCCCACCCCCATTCTAGACCTCTTTTTACCCGACCCCTCAAGCACCCCCAATGTCCCTGCCACTTTCAGCACCCTCACATGATACAACTCCTCTCCTTTACACACAGCTCCCTGCTACCCCTCCCACTCTGGTGCCCAAGCTCCTCACATCAAACTGTCCCTTCCTCCAATCAACTTTTCTCCCAAGGCCTAACCCATCTCCACACCCAGACTCTTCCCACTTTAAGCACTTGCTCAACCAGATCCTCCTCTTCAAACTACTTAACTCCCTCTACAAATCAAGGCCTGAGCACCCCCCTACACTAACCCTCTATCCAGAATACCCAGACCCATCTTGCAAAAACCTAACCCTTTCTTCACACCCAGACCCTTCTTACCATCATTAGTCGTTTGTCTCCTGGGTACAACTCTCTTCCCCTTAATCACCTCTTCTTTGCACTGAGACCTCATCTACAACCCAGATCCCTCTTCACACTGACTTAAACCCCTTTTCTTCAAACACCATCTGAACCCATTCAGGTATTCCCAGACTCCCTCTTCACGTTTGTTTTCTTTGCAAAACCCCTACCACCCTAACCCATTCTAGAGATGCCCACACCCCTCCTCACATCAAAAACTAGGCCTCCCACCTTCAGAAAAAGATCCACTCCCAGGTCCTCCCTTCACGTTATTAACCAAACATTTTCTTCTTTGCAAAAAGCCCTTCTCCCCTCAAATCCATTTAAGGGATGCCCAACACTTCTTTTTATGCTAACCCAAGCCCCTCCTCTGTGCAAAAGGGCCACCCCCACCCTACCCATTCCAGAGATGCTCAGTCCCTCTCTACATCAACTTAATTCCTTTTCTTTGCAAGAAGATCTGCACATACTCCAACATAATGCAGGGATACCAGGCTCCTCCTCACAATGACTTCAACTCCTCCCTTTCGCACACAACTCTCCCTCTGCCTCAAACCCATTTAGGGATACCCAACCCCTCCCCCACCCAACCCAGCCAGAGGACAGACAGATCCGGCTTCCCCACACCTAGACCCCTCTCACAGCCCTGGGGACACCCTGACCTCCAACTTCTCAGCAACGTTTACATTTCATTCTCATTCGAGGGATACCAACCTCCCCGCCCCAGACGAGCACACAGCTCTCTCACCCCACCACCCCAGCACCCTCTAGTGATACCCACTTCTCACTCTTCACCTTGACCTAATTCTCTGTACTTTTCAAAAGACTACCTCCACCCTGTTTACTTTAGGGATACGAAGGCACCTTTGTCACATAACCCTTCTTTGAACATATTCTCAATTCGTTGCAAGGGTACCCCATTTTGGCTTAACTCCTCTTCGCGTTAACGTAACCCCATTCTTCACAAGGACCTCTCCATCCGCTCTAAATCTCTTTAGGGATATCCATTTCCTGATCTCTTTTCACACCAAGACCCCTCTCACTGGCCTAATTCCTTCCAGGCATAACTAGCTTTTCTCTTCACATTAACCATGCCCACGCCCTTAACCCTTCCCCGGTTCACTCCCCTTCGGTCCTGAACTGCCCCACCGCCAAACGCTTGGCCCCGAAGCCCCGCGCACCGTGGAAGCCTTCTGGGGATAGCGCTAACGCATTCCTTCCCACCCCGGACGCTCCCAGTTCCCAGCCCGGGCCCCGCCCCTCCTCATTCTGCCCTTCACCCGACTCTAGCCCCCTGCCCCGCCCGCCACCGCGCCCGGCCGACCGCCCGCGCGCCCCGCTGGCCGTTGGTGCCGCTCCGCCCTCCCCACCCGGCGCGCGTCCCCCAGCGGCCCTTCAGTGCGCAGGCGGGGTGGCGAGGAGAGGCCGCGGGTGGGGGCGGGGAGGAAGCCTGCCGACCGCGCGTCGGCCTGTACTCACCCGCCTCCGTTGTCTCGCACACCCCGGCCCGGAGCAGGGCCGCTGCTCCCCTCTCAGAGCCACTCTAGCGCTGCGCCCTCTCTAGCTCCGCCGTCTCCTCTCGCCTGCTCCACAGCCTCGCTCTCGCCCCTAATCGCCCTCAGTAACGCTCCGCCCACCTTCCTCCTCGGCACCGCGCGGACGGCCGAACGCTCCCAACCATCGCCCTCCTCGCCCCCGCCGTTTGGCCAATCGACGCTCACGTCTCTGAGCCTTGGGCCAATAATATAGAGCGTCTGCATCCCCTCAGGGCTCAACCAATCCTCTAGCGACATTTCTTCACCGGTCAGCCTCCCGGATGATAGTGCCCGCCTCCTTAAGCCTCCGGAGGATGCACCTCCTCTGCCTCTTCGTCGGCTCCTGCTGATGGCTCAAGATGGGAGGGCTGCGCGGTGACGTTAGGGGCGGAGCGAGGCGGCGGGCGCCATCTTGGGGGCGCAGGGCCAGAGTCACGTCGGGGTCGGAGGGGGATGTCGGGGAAGTTGGGTCACGCGACACCTGGAGGACGGAAGTTGGGGACCTGAGGCGCTGGAGGCTCCGGGAAACGGAGGGAGAAACTGAAGCAGCAGTCAGCGCGAAGGGGAGAGGGAAAATGGCAGCACCAAGTCCCTGGAGGGAGAAAAGGGAATCAACGCTGCAGACTAACTTCGTTAGCGAGGAATGAATGAGGCAGCAAGAAGAGAAAAACCTAGGGACTCTTGAGGGAGCGAGAAGGAGAAATGTCAAAATGAGGAACAGAGAGAGGAGATCTGAGGGAGCCAGGAAAATCTGAAGAAGGGAGGAAATGGGAAAATGGTGGCAGTGGGGGAAAGCAAGGACAGGCAGTTTCATTTGAAGAAATAGGGAGTGTGGGGTGTGGAAGATCCTAAAGGCAATCACGGTGACAACCTGCAGGAAGTGACCCTGTAGCAGATCCGACTCTGCTTCCTGAGTGCCTGCCTCGCAGGCTGTTCCTCTGAGCTTAAGGGAAGGTGGAGTCGCCATGTGTCCAAGGGGCACTGGCCAGCCCTGGCTACTCTTCCCTTTTAGCCCTCAGGGCCTTGGGAGCCCATCGCTCTACGTTGTTAGAAATGTTTCCAGAGCCACTCCTTGAACCCGAGAACAGGATTCGCTTGTTAATAACCGTGCCCACACCATTTCTCAAATGAGTAAACTGAGTCACAGAGGATTTAGTCCTTTACCTTATAGAGGCCAAAAGCTACCAGGGGACCCCAAACACAAAGTAGGGCCTAGGTCTGACTCTTCAGCCATCACCTTTGCTGGGGCCTTCAAATGATTTCTAAGTGTGTGTCTTAACTTTCCACTAAATGCCCTCACACCAGACCCATGTTTAATTAAACTGGGCTGTCTGGATTGGAATCCTGTCCCTGTTACTTCTAGTTGTCTTGAGCAACTCCCCTATGCCACAATTTCCTCATCTGTGAAATGGGAATAATAGCCCCTGTCATGGTTTTTGTGAGGAACAGAGTAAGAGCTAAATAAGAACTTTATTAGGACTTGAAGGAGACCAGTACTTTAGTGGAGTTGATGTGCTAAGTATTGTGCTCAGTGCTTTCTGTGCATTATTCAGTTCAATCTCATCAACAACTCTAGGAGGGAAAAACTATTTCCTCACTTTACAAAGAAACTGAGGCCCAGAAAAGTTAAGTAGCTTGTCCATCAGGAAGTTAACTCCATGGTCTATGTTCTTGGCTCCCAGGCTCTATTGCCTGGCAGGTGGGATGTCCAGAGTGGCATGTAGAATGGATGGATGCAGGAAGTAGAGGGAAGAAGTTGGTGGGAATCTGTGAGCTCTAAAACTGGTAATCTGGGTTTGCCCTCAGGCTGAAATAACCCAGGGTGGGAGCTGGAGAACCTGAAAGCTAGACTCAGGCTTTGACAGGCTCCATTCCCTCAGGCAGGTTCTCACTCCTGATGAGACCTCTCCCTACTTGAAAATGCAGGGGGTCCAACTTGGCTTGCACGTTCTGCTTAGACTTCCCAATTTATCTGGGTTGTCTTGGTCCCTTCTCTTAGATGATGCAGAGTAAGATCAGGCCTGGATCAATCTTTTTGGAGATGGTGGCATGGGACTAGAACGTCTGGGACAGGTCCAGTTTAGAGAGGATAGGCATTCTCTGCTGGGGTCCCTGTGTAAGCAAAGGCCTGCAGGCCAGTGTGAGTCTGGCCTTTCAGGCCTACCTGGAGCTAAGGGTTGATGCTGGGATGTTGGTGGGGTGTAGGGTGAGGAGGTGTGGGCAGAATTGGTGGTCCTTCAGGGTCAGATGTACGTCGGGGATTACCACATGCCAGCTGCAGAGGGCTTCCTGTGCCAGGCCAGTGTGAGAGGTGCCGTGTGCCATGTGTGTGTGCGAGGCATGCAGTCACGTGTGGTGGAGGCTGCACGTGCATGTGTCAGTGTCTCCTCCCCATCACGAGCGTTGGAGGTGGTGGTGAGTCACGGGCTCAGCCTTCAGCGCCAACTGTCATGTTCCTTCTCCCCAAATTCCCCCCCACCAGCCTTGCACCACCCACCCCAACTCCAAGATCTGTGTCACTGCTTTTGTCTTCCATCCCCCTGCCCTGCTTAGCTCCTTCCGGGAGGCTGCAGAGTGCTCCCTGGGAGGGGGTCTCCCACTTCTGCTGGTCCTGCCCTCCAGTTCCCTGCCCTTTCCCACTGTCTTTCTGCTCAGGTGACTAGAGGACAGGGTCTCTTCACCCCACCCAGTCATCTCTGTGGGTCCCGAGGATTTCACTATGCATTATGAAGAATTCTCATACTCACCACCCATCCCTTCACTTCCACAGGAGCTACTTCTATTTCTGTGTGCTTGTCTCTTGTTTCTAGGGGCTAGCTGCCCCTGCCTCTTGGGTCCATAACCTTACCTTGTGGGTTCCCTGGTGTCTGTGGGCCCCTGCACTTTTCCATGGCTTGCTCCCACTTCCCTTAGCCTTCCTCTCTGTCCCTCTGAGATGCGTCCTTGTTCCCTTTTCTGCAGGCTTCCTGTCCATGGCCTTCTCCCCTCACCATGGACCACTCCCCATGCCCAAGAGGTGCTCTCAGTCCCCAAGGGCCTCTCTGAGTCCAAAAGCTATCCCATGTCCCCATGGTCGGGGTGGGGGGCTCTGTCCACCAGTTGCCCTCTTCTCTGAGGTCCTTTGCTTGTTTCTGAGGTCTGCACCCTTGTCTCAATGGGCCTTTCTCTCTTTTCCCTGGGCTTTTCCTGTCATTGTCATTGTGGGGTTTGCCCACCTCTATAAATTTTGATGGGCTGTCTTGCTACTTTTCTGCATTTTTCTTCATCTATATAGCCCTCTGCCCCAAGCTCTATGGCCTTCTCCCAGGTCTCTCTGCCTCTCATCTCCATGGGCTCCTGTGCCCAAGGGCTGCCTGGGCAGGGCGGTGGCACAGTGTGGTGGAGGGGGTGGCCCGGGGGTGGGCCGTCCATCCAATGCAGCGCCTTCCCCTCATCAGCATTCTCCTCGTGGCCCCCCAGCCCGGACCAATACGGGCTCCCCCTCCTCCGACTCCCCTCCCTCCTCTTCTGCCAGCCTTCCAGCCTTCCTCCTGCCTGCCCTCCTCCCTGCGCCCTCCCTCCCTCATCTCTTTCCCCCGCCCCCCGCGCTCCAGGACCCAGCGCAGGCGGCAGGCGGCGGCCTCAGAGGGGAGAAGGAGAGGTGGCGGCGGTGGCAGTGTCGACAGTGGTGGCGGCCGGCGGCAGGGAGGCAGGCCCAGCTGGGGACCAGGGCCGGCGGCTGCCCCTCACAGGGGACCGGAGTCCGTGGCCAGGCCCTCCCCCCGAGGCCCTGTGCTGGGCGCCCCGGGACACCCCACCCTCCTCGGCCTTCCTCTCCTCCCTCCTCCTCTCCCTTCTCCTCATCCCTCTGTCTCGCCTGCCCCCTTCTCAGCTCTCTGTGTCTTCCAGCACCCCATCTTACTCAGCCCCTCCACTGCCCAGCCTCTCCCAGCCCCCGGCATGCTTTTCTCTTGGGGGCTGAGGGCTTGAGGACCCCAGGCCCTTGCCTCCTCCGGGGCAGGGCCAAGGGTCCAGGGGGGAGGGGGGAAGGGGTGGCCCCCTCCCCCCCAGGAGGCCTCCCCTCCCCCACTTCTCCTGATGGCCGGCTTCCTTGTCTCCACCCAGTCCTTGCCCCCTGTGGCCCCCCCAGGCCGGCCCGGCTAGGGGAGGGGGCAGGGGCCCTTTCCTGGGCCGACTTCCCCCTCCCCCGGCTTTGCCTGTGCCCCCTCCCTTCCGTTTTCACCTTCCTCTCCATTTGCTCCCCCCTCTTCTGTCTCCCCTTCTCTCCTCCATTTTCTCCTTTCCCCTTCCTCCCCTACCCGGCCTGCCCTCTCCTCTTCCACCTGTCCTTCCTCCCTGCTCCTGGGAGCCCCCGATTTGGATTAGTTGGGGGCCACCACTGGAGGCGGGGGAGGGGGCCCTGTGAACTGCCCTCTCCCCCCACCCCAGCCACACCACCACCCAGCACCAGAGCATCTCCCCGTTGTCTTCCTCGGCCTCGAGGGAGCCCAGCCCTCCGTCCCTCCAGGATCCGTGAGTGTCTGCGGGGCGGGGGTTGGGCTGGGGCAGACTGGGTCCTGGAAGGCTGGGCTCAGTGCCGCTGCCTCCCCCACAGGGTGCCTGCTCCCTCCTCCTCCAGCCTCCGTTCACCCCAGCCTTTTCTCACCCCTTCTGCTGGGTGCACAGTGCACCCTGGCACCCCAGCACCAAGCTGCTGGGGTCCTGAGGGGCCGACTGGCTCT